TTCGACAGCTGTTGTAGCGAGATGTTTCCTGAAACAGGTTGATTTGCATGCCAGTGTAAGGTATAAGAGGTGAATTTAAATAGGCTACCGTTGACTGTTAATACTACAAGCCCTCCTTGGTTCAACCTCTATATGGCCAATTAAAGGGCATTGGTGCATGGACACTAACCGATTGGTCACGGGGCTCACTTTTCCTGTAGGGTTCATTCTCTATCTTCGCCAACAAGCGCACAGAAGGTAAAATCCTTAGCAAAGACAAGGGAGGCTGGAATAGCCATTTCTGGCTGATTGTCCGCCATGAGTGATACACCACCCGAGTGACGCACCACCCGAGGCTCGAACTCGTTCAGAAGTCTAAAACTAACCATTGTGCCACGTGCTAATTGCCTTGTCGGTTTAAATCGGGAATACTAACATTGGTAGATAGGTGCTGGGCGGGGATTCGAACCTCGAGTGGCGCACCACACGGGATTTGTATGGGACTAGCTGATGACAGCTAATAGGCCGGAAATGGTCATCCCGTCTCCACTGTCTTCTTCCTCCAACTAAAGGGTGTTAATTTTTTTTTGAAAATAGACGATATGACCTCAAAATTGGCTAAACCCAGGGGGGGTTTATTGTGTAAATCTTCGTTGTCAAATGTTGACGACGCTCATACTATCAGAATGGCCGAAGGGAAAGGCATTCACCAGCAAACAGCACAAAGGCCTCAATCTAACGACGGTTTTTAATAGCGTATTTCAGTTAATTCGCGTTCAACTGCTGACTCCATGAAAGCACGGCTTCCAGCCACAGCAAACTATCATTTTCTTCCACAAATGCGACTCGTGCGATTTTGATCATGGCTAGGCTTTTTCAGACTCACAATTCCAATCGCGAAAACAGAATCGCTCATATTTCATACAGAAAATAGGGTAGACTAGTTGACGTCAGTTCTATTTCACTTTAAATCCTCCCGATCGCAGCTAATAGGATGCTTGCCTTGAAAATGCTCGATCAGCAAATTATTCCTGCACGAAGATTGCGCCCCCTGCCTCCGGGGGTCGAAGTATGGCTATCTGGAGATGTGAATTAGGGCTAGAAACAGTAACTCAACCGACATTTGTGCGCGTCCCCATAATTACTTGATCGTTATTTCCTGTACGCTGACGGGTGAAGACTTGACGAGGTACTATCCTTGGTACAAAGCTCCCCAGGGAGAATTTAGATCTCTTAACGGCAAGTATACAGATTAGGGGGTCGACGCACATTTTCAAGGCCCTCTTAAGCTTCCTCTATGGAGGAAAAAGTGCAGCGTTTGACGCCACACCATGCCCACCATCACTCCCTAACGAAATTTCCTA